GTTCAAGGACCAGTGGGGCGCTTGGCGCTTCGGACGTGCGACGACCCGCAGCGGTGAAGGGAGGGCCAAAAAGCAGGGCTGCGTTTTGCAGAGGACCCCCTTTTGTGTTTTTAAGGGGAAGCCAACAACAAACCAAAGCATTTTTTGGGGGGTCCAAAAAAAGAGACGCACCCATAGTCCCCTTTCACAAGAGGAAACTCACCAAACAGCCCAGGTGATGTTTAAAGCCACCCAGGGGGAAACACACATCTTTTGGGTCCCTATACTGAGGATGGACAAAATCTATTTCGCAACAGTTGGGATCGGTGGTTTATCAACCATGTTTAAATAGGGGTCCATCTCTCCCCAAGTGGTGCGAAATGGATTTCGCCCACAGCAGTTCCCCCCTCGACATCACCCCGAGGAAACTGACCAAATAGCCCAGGTGATACTTAAAGCCACTAACAGGAGCCATGGGACCCCAACAAAAGCCACGATTTTGCCACTGATTTCATGCCCAAGACCCCTGTTGAGAACAAGCAAGTAATACTATGGACAAATTCCGGCACCAGTTGGGTAGCTTACTTGCAATACTTGAGAAAGTACACGCCAGCAAAAAGGGTCGAGATTCAAAGGGACCTCCAAATTACGGAACCTGACCTACGCGCATGTATGAATCAAGGAACTCCACGTGAATCTTCCGAAGAAAACTCAGACTCTGTATCGCTGGGGCAAAATAGGCACCGGTCCCCTCAAAGCGTTACTGCCCTTTAGCTACCAACCAAAAGGGAGTCCGAATCCCTTTTGGAGAAACCCCATTTGGCTTCAAATTCGCTGGATAGAGGCAAGGTGAGCCACTGAAATTGCCTATAGGAATCAGCTGTAGCCGCTCACAAGGCTCAATCACGGTAGATGCCCCAACCATTGCAAGCCTGGGAACAAAGGGTTCCCCATTTAAGTTGGTGTCTTTTAAGTGCGGTTGGTTTGCTCGCAACTTGACACATCCAACTCCCCCTGGTTCAGCCTTGTTTACCAGGCCGTGGGTCAAAACCTCGTACCCCCCGTGAACGGGACCCAATCCAACCACTAAGATAGGCTGAAAAATGGGTGGTGAATTCACCCAATCCCACCAAAATGGGATCCCAAAACGGATCCCAAATGACCACAGCCACCAGGGTTTGGTGCTTGGATACCCCCCATCCCCCCCAAAAAACCCACCCCCCGCCCCCCAAACCCACCCCCCCGCCCCCCCCGCCCCGTGTCCGCCGTCCTGCGCAGGTCGCTTCGGCGGCAGCGGCAGGGCGCTGGCCTCGGAGCGGAGCCGCGGAGGGCGCGAGGGGAAGGGCAAAAAACATAAGACGCGGGGTATCAAAATGGGTTAAATAATATATATATATATATTATATATATATATACATATATATATATATATATATGCATGTATGTGTATATATGTATGTGTATATATATATATATATGTATATATATATATCTGTTTACATATATATATATATATGTATATATGTATGTATATATATATATAAACAGGGTGTCCAAATGGGGAGGCCCCAACATGAGTTTTTGTTCCGACACCCGTAGGTGGTTGGACATAGATGGGTTTCCTGGATACCAAAGCCATCTACGGTCAATCAAACTACTCTAAAAAGGACAGCCATTTCCCTTGAAACCAACCTTTAAAAAAGGGTATCCTCAAAAAGCGCAAAACCGTTTTCATAAACTGGATCCAACAGTCAGTCACACGTTGCACCACTGT